CTAAACTGAAGTATAAACATTAAGCTATATGTTGAAAAAAATCAAGTGATTCCAACTTCATATGAGTGAGTTATGCTATTTTAAAAAGCAGGATACAATAATAAAATGTGCTGAAACAGAAAAAAAAAATGTTGCATTGATATGATGTCTTTCCATGCTTGTATCTAATTCAGTATTTAACCAAAATATGATTTCCAAAAGTCTAAACTGAAGTATAAACATTAAGCTACATGTTGAAAAAAAATTCAAGTGATTCCGATTTCATATGAGTGAGTTATGTTATTTTAAAAATCGGGACACTAATAAAATGTGCTGAAAAAAAAAGTAATACCTTTGATGCCAAATTCCACAAAATCTTCCCATAACTCGTAGGCGGTTTTCAACAACTCAAATTTTGAGTTCCATCGGGTTGGAGAGTCGCCACACAAAAAGTTCTTTGTTTCCAACCCCACATCTTTGATGACTTTTTTAAACTTCTTAATCCTTTGTGTTGAACCTCTAATATACTTCACCAACTTTTGTACACATTCCACATGATAGTTATGGTATTTTAACCCAACCTTCACGATAAGGTTTAGGATGTGAGCAATACACCGTATGTGGAAAAGTTTTCACCCATCGTAAATCGTAGGAAACATTTTAACCAAAAATTCGATTGTCATGTCGTTACATGTGGCATTATTGACGGTCATTGACATAATATTTTTCATACCCCACCCATGTATGCATGCTGCTAACTCTCGTCCAATTTCCCCAACTTTATGTCTATCTATCTCCTTAAAATTGACGACTCTTGTGCATGACCCACTCGTCATCAATACAATGGGCCGTGACAACCATGTAATTGACCTTTTTACAAGAGGATGTCCAAGTGTTGGTTGTCAAGTGTATAACGGTGTTTGCATTACTAAAATACTTGAACACTTTATTCCTCTCATCTAAGTAAAACTTGCCTATGTATCGGGAAATTTTATGTCTAGAAGGCAAGATCACCCTACCATTAAGCGTGTTAGTATATTCAATAAATGCTTCATTTTCAACATACTTGAATGATAGTTCACCAACGGTAAAAAGGCCTAGTAATGCTCGTTTGATCCTAGCGTCATCATGTTTTCGTGTTTGTACACTAGTCTCACCATTTGGCTCCTTCTTAAAATTCATTTTGACTTGCTTTTTATCATTCTTTTCTTTGTTGTTCGGGTTTAACTTGCAATTCCTCCAATCTTTGTTCATATTAGATGTCTCGTTTCGGTTCGTATTGGTTTTAAGTACCGTTTGACAATGAATACATTCCACACTTTTTCTTTCAACACCATCATCCTCTATAATACACATCGCTCGAACGCTACCCAACAATGAGTGGTTCCTTTACCATTATTCATTGCTATTTCTCGTTTGCTAGTAATTGGTTTTGGCACGCCTCCATTCATTTTTTGTTTCTTAGGATTTGGTTTTGGCACATCTTCTTTTTCGGATCCGTCACTATTATCAAGTTTTCATGTAGTAATATACACATAGACAATGCATGTATAGAGGTTTTAAAGAGGCACTATACATAAGGCATGTACATACCAATTACTTAGATAGGTTCAATTTTTTTCCAAAGCTAAAATCAAACCGTTTATCTATTCATTAATATTATTTACTAGAATTGAAGCCATAAAAGAAGAAAAACCAAATTTTAAAACAAAACAAATACTTACTTGAGTTTTATCCAATTCTGTATTAACCCAATTACTTTGAGCTTGACTTCACCATTGTTGATATTTGTTGAACCGATCGTGATTAACCAAGGCGTAAGCAAGAACCGAGAGTCGAGATTAGGGATGAGTTGTTTCCTGGTGATTGCTAATTTCGTGAACAGTGAACTTGAATCCGTAATCGTCGATTACCTAAGGCCCAAGCAATAATTGATAGACTCGAATCTGTGATCGTGATTAATTACACTCGATCGTGATTTTTTTTGCCTCACTAAATGCGGATTTGCATTGTAATGGTTGAGTGGTCGACCCTTTTTCTTAGGTAATTTAGGAATAGATTTGGTTAGTTATGATTTAAGATAATCATAAAATATTTTTAAAAAAGATTTGCAATGTTTTTTTGTCTTTTAAACTTTCGGACCGGTTCCGGTTTTTTGTGGAACCGAACTGGGTTTGGAACCAGGACCGGTTTTGTTAAAACTAAAGAACTGCTAACTGAACCGCTATATTAAATCATAACCGGTTCGGTTTGGTTCCGGTTCCAGTGGTTTCAACATTCATTCCTAGTTTAAATTAAAAATCAAAAGTTTATAGTATCAAACAAAATTTTTTGTTCAAAACATAGCGTTTTGTCAAACGCTCTGTGTCAAATACATTCATAATATTATTATTCCTCCTTTACTTTTCTAATTCGTAACATTTTACATGAGCTCAATTACTAGTTATCTAGTTCTTTACTATGTTACAAAAAAAAAAAAAAAAAAAAAAAAAAAAATTCTTGGACCGTTTTCTTAAGGTTTATGAATCCTCCGATTCTCTTAGCGACTGTGGGCAAGCCCAACATGCAATGTGTCAACTATGTTTCACATCACAAACTTCGTTATATGCGCCTTTTAAAATCATTTTCCATTATGACCCTTTAAGTAGAAATAAAAAAATAAAAAATAAAAAAGTAACTAACATTTAATCTCCATTTTCCTGCTCATGACAATAAAAAAAAATAAAAATAGTATTCCATACCAACTACTTTTAAATAAGTTGTTACGACAACAATATTTGCACCGACGCAAGTTATCATATTTGTACATCTTTCATATCATCTTTATTCTAATAAATAAATACTTTTAAACTACTTTTGATAATTGTTATTTTAATACAATTTTTCATTAATATTATATGATGTGATATATTAGATAATTCATTTCAAAATTCAAATTTATATTTTCTAATTATATGTTAAATTTGAAATTATAATAACTTTAAAATTTTGATATATCTCTTAATTAATAATTTATTTAAAATAATAGATTAATAATTATAAATTTTTATTATAAAAGTTTAACTAATTTTTTAACCGTGATTCCTACGGGTTATAAACTAGTATTAACATATTTGATAGGGATAATTACTTAGGAAACCATTGAAATTTTAAATTTGTTCAAAAAACATCATTTAAATATTACATGTTTAAAAAACACCATCAAACTAAGATATATGTTCAAAAAACACCATCAAATTAAGACATATGTTCAAAAAACACCAACAAAGTACAGATTTTGTTCAAAAAACACAATCTCTATTGTTTGGGGTAACTTACATGTTTAGCTCATATCTTTTTTTCCTAACTCGGACGGTCCATACCGTTCATGTTGATTTTGCCATTGGACCATGATCAAATTAAAAGACTAATATACACTTATTAGTTTTATTTAACAGTTATTTTTATTACTTGTTAGTTATTTCTACAATTGATATATTTATAATAAATAATAACATAAATTGTATAAGTAATTAATAAATAATAAAAATAATGTTAAATGAAAGCAATAAGGGTATATTAGTCTTTTAACTCGATTAGGGGCCTTAAATCGAAGCAAATTTAAATTAAAGGGACCGTCCGAGTTACGTAAGAAACGTTAGGAACAAAATATGTAAGTTACCAGAAACCATAGATATGGTGTTTTTTGAACAGAACATGTATTTCGTTGGTGTTTTTGAACATATATCTTAGTTTGATGATGTTTTTTGAACATATAATATTTGAATGGTTTTTTTGAATGAATTTGAAACTTCGATTGTCTTCTAACTCATTTTCCCTATTTGATATCCTCTCTAATAATAATCATTTCTAATAAATGAATGAGTTTTTTTTCCCACTTATCACACTCTAATTCAATTTGCCAAATATCATTTTTTGGTTATTTTGAATTAATTTTTTTCCATATGTCATTTTATAAGTTTTTCTATTTTATTAAATTTCACATAATATTTTAATTTAATAAGTATAATAAATGTAGGAATAAATCGATATCAATTTCATTAATGAACTTATATTTTAATTTCAAAATCCCTGAAATTAAAGCTCATTAGCTTCTTTTATTTATTTAAATTATTTGTTTAAATTTAAAAGATACAAAAACATTTCCATTATAATAATTAATTATTTTTCGTATTTTCTTATAAATTCAAAGTTTTCAAATATTTGACCTTTATATTTAACTTTTTTAAAATTTACTCATGTAATACATGAGTCATTTATATTTATCTTTTTTTTTTTTAAATTAACTAATGTAATACATGGCTTTCACAACTAGATTGTACAATAATTTAAGTTAGATGATCACATTAATAATTAATTATCTAGGTTCTCAAATATTTTGATTTTTATATTTAACATTTAAAAAAAAAAATAACCAATGTAATACATGAGTCTTTTATATTTAACTTTTTTTTTTTTTTAATTTACCCATATAATACATGAATTTCACAACTAATTTATACAAATAATTAATTCTCAGGTGGTCATGTTTTGTTTTCTCGGCCTATAGTCGTTGGGACATAACAATTAACTTGAAGTCGTAATGAAGCTTTGAGAAGTGAGCATAACAAAACGGTGAATTATTTTCTTCTCCTTCATCAATTAAGCAGGCGATTACGAGTAAACCTCATGTGGCGTTCGATGCGGTGATAGTGATGTACCGATGACTCAAGACAATTGCATGCACTGAAGTGCTTCATCTAGCTACATACATTTATTTAACTCTTATATTTGCAAATACAAACTAATTTGTACTCACTAACCTTATGAGTTTAATACTTGTTCTTTGTCGACATTTCTATGCATAATGCATGGTTATAGTAGATCTTATAATTAAGTTAAAAGGATTTTTATTCACGTGAACACTTTTTTACGCGTCTGTTGTCAATTGATCACAAAACTCGCATATAATTTGTCAAAAACTAATCTCAAAAAGTAAAATACTTTGTTTAGAAAGAGAGGTTGCATATATATATGCAAAACTCAAGTGAATGTTCGCAGCGTATTTAGACCGAGTTCAAAAGTTGACTACAAAACAAAAATTATCTATAGCCAGAGAGCATTATATCTATATATGACCACATTCTGATTACGTTGAATTAAAACTGGGAATCTACCTTACATTTACATACAAAGAAGAGAATAGATGATACCTATCCACGCTGTCGTCACCACCCATTCCAATTCAATCTGTTCACAATCAGAATTGGCAAAGCTCTTCTTATATCCTTCTCCTCCTTCTTTTGCTGCAGCAGATGCCGATGCAGAATTCGATGCTGATGATGCTGATGTTGTTGGGGCTGGAGCAGGACTAGATTCTCGTGGGTCACAGTCTCCAAATGTCATCTTTGCCTAAATATCAATAATAATTACTGTACGTTAAATATCAATTATATTATTACGCTAATTATTTTTTACTGATTAATTAATTAATGTTACATACCCTGCATGAGTCAATGTTGTTACATCCACAAACTAGGTGCCCATTAGCGAAATCTACAGCAGCAGGGGCACCTCCACCATCACTCCTCTGAAAAATTCCATTACATATAAAAGCACGTGTAAAACTCAAGATTTCGTAATTAGCACGTGTAAAAGTCAATGTGGTGAATGAATAGAACAAATACCTTGTAAAAGTCAACAGCGATGAAATTAGGCCATCGTTTGCCAGCAGCATCATGGCAAGTATTCATCATGGTTATTAATGGGGCTGAATTTTGCTTACAAGCTTCGATAAAATCTGGGGTGTCTGGGAAGTGATTCAACAAAACCAGAGATCTTGTTTTACTGTTCATGACTGCTGACTCAGCACGACTCGGGCAAGACCCGTTTTTCATCCCGTCCGTACCATCTGCTAATTTTTAGAGTTGATTTAGAAAAAAAAAATCCAAACGGAATTAATTAGATCAAAGTTGAGAGATTAAAACAAAACTTACATTGATTTTCAACCACGTATCTCCATATATATGCAATTCCTTCGGAGGCTTCTTTGGAGGATTTAGAAGTGAATACTACCAACCGTTGATTCTGCTGGATCATGGAATCAAGGGTGGGCCAATTACTACCGTTGCTTGGCATTCGAGCTACTGGAAACCAGAACTTGCCCAGGCCTGAAGCTTTGAAGATCTTGGTTAGACCACTTTGAGAGGTGACGTAGTCTTCTATGAATATGGTGATGATTTCTGTAGGATTTGCTTCTAGGAATTCTTCAACCTCTTTCAGAACATTGATAGCAGGTTGCTGATGAAATCAAAGATGATAATCCAATAATATCAAACACACCTTATGGTTTAGTGTTCATAAATGGCTTAACTGAACTAAACTAAACTGGCATAGATCAAAGATTGATTAATTTTACAGCAGAAAAGGTACTTACAAATGCTGTGTAGTTGTAGCACTTCCCATGAAAGGAGTGACATAACCAGATATCGTTCTCAAATTCATACATATCCAGCATCAGACCTCTCACGCCATTCTGCAGAAACAGTAAGCAAAAATCCTTATGATGTCTTAAACTTAATAATACAGAGTATAGGATGTAAGGAATGAGATGGTTAATGCATATACAACAATTTAATCCAACTGGTATAGTTTTTTAGTTTTTTAACTTAATCAAACATGAATTCTCGATTGAAGTCTCAGTGCATTCATCATTTAAGAAAATAGTAGGTTTTGACCTTCATCAAGTCTACAGATAAGTGGTGCTCGAAAAAATATGCAGGTAGGCATGAGAGATTGCTACTTTCATAGTGTTATCCATGCTTTACAAGGCAAAATTTCAACACTCCCTTGTAGAAGGATGTTTTTGCAACCCAGATTTCTATACTAAAAAGCTGTCAAGCAAGCAATCGTGGCTGAAAAAAGAGATCAAGTTAAGGGGAAGCAAATTCTGAATATGAATCAACATAGATTCCATTGGAATTTCATGACCACAATGTTTCTATTTACAGTTGCTGCTGAAATTTTTGTTTCCGTTCTGCCAGTTTCAAGTTCACTATTACTGTATTGGACGTTACAAAAACTATAGCTTATTTTTGGAACATAGAGAGCATTAAGTATCAAATCGAATGCATTTGTTCGTTGAGATAAGTAATCAATCATACGTTACGAAGAGAAATCAACTAAACAATACCAATTTAACGCCGAATTGAGATTTTAACACTCTGCACAGTAGAGAGAGAGAGAGAGAGAGGCATACGTTCAGCTGAGCAGTAATTGAATCCTGCTGGTTCACTGGAGCTAGAAGAACAGAGCCTGTATCTGACTTGTGTCCCATTCTAGCGAACGCATTGTGAGTCGTTAACCACGAGTAGCGATTGAACGGCAATCCTCTCACCTAAAACAAGTCTCGATCACATCACACACATCCATGATCCTTCGTTTTCACACTTAAACAATACGATAAAGTATACCTTACGAACAGGACTATGAGGCTGGACGCGAATACAACGGGGCGGAACACTGACGTTTCCGGTGCAAGTTCCACATTGCGATCCACTGTCACAGCTCTTGTCGTTGATGCAAGTCTGTTTTTCCTGTAAGGTTCAAATAAAAGTTAATTAATCCTATTAAATTGCTATAAACAGATCTCAGAACTAAAAAACAACAAAAATGAACTCATTCATCGATCAATAATTTGCAAAGTACCTTGAATCCTGAAGACAAAGTGAATAGAAAAGCTGCAGTGAAAAGAGTTGCGAAGAACACATTCGGCACGAGTTTGATCCTCTGAAAACAATCAAGTGCTTGTTTCAGTTCATTATTGATGAATCGAAGAAAAATAACAGAGAGAGATAGAGAGGGAAGGAGAGAACGGTTACCTCCATTAATGGTTTTAGGAGAGGAAGTCGACGAGAGTCTAGTGAGTGAGAGAGAATGTATCTGTGTAATAAGTTTGTTTGAATTCCGGTTCAGGCTGTGGGAGAGAGAGCGAGAGATGCTTTTTCAGTCCCGCGCCACGTCTAACAACCTCTTCTTGTGCTCCTTCTCGTTTCTGTTTGTTGGGAAATGATTATTATTATCTCGCTGAATTTAGGAGAATGTAGTCGAAAAACAATTCAAAAGTCATTTGTGTAATCGGTTTTTATCAACATTAAATAAATGTAATCCAAATTAACTAAAAGGACTATAATCCAGTATTTATATCTGTTTAATGATTAAATAAAAAATGTTAAGTGTAGTGATCAAATATTTTTTTTTAAAAAAAAGTTATAACAAAAGCGGAAGTAAACTTAGTAGACTTATTAAAATGGAAATTTTGAAGGTTACATACATCAAAATGACGACTATTCTTCTATAACAAGTCAACGAATCGTGTATCGAAGACAATGATTTTAATCGATAACGGATTCGTGAATTGTGAGGTTACTTGTAATGACCAAAAAAAAAAAAAATACTGGTTAAATTCATTCATGAATTTGTGAATATGTTTATGCTCATGATTTTTTTCGCGGTGTGATAATTTTCTCAATAGTATACATTTAACAGGCTTTATTTCCCTACAAAAATCACATTGTTTAAGGTTTTTTATAACTCGTTTAAAATTAAAATGAAGAAGATGATGGTCACAAGTATCCCTTGGTTAAAGGTTTATTTATTTATTTATTTTATAAATTGGATAAAATCAAAAACAAAAAATATTAATTATTTCAGATTGTATGTTCTTTGAGATTGAAAAAAATGGTAAAACAAGGAGAGAGAGAGAGAGAGAGAGAGAGAGAGAGAGAGAGAGAGAGAGAGAGAGAGAGAGAGAGAGAGAGAGAGAGTGATGACAATCTTCACGTTATAAGAGTTTGTGTTTAATGAGAAGATGGTTATAACACTCAAAAATCACAAAAATTTAAATTTTCAAAAAAAAAAAAAAAATCAATCATTCATCATTATTATTTACAAAATAATCATTGTTTTCAAAGTATTATTTCAAATCAGAGTTTTCTCCAAGGTCCAGTGACAAAACAGAAAGTTGTGTAAGATCACACATTCGCATTCTCATGATTATCAGAAGTACCTAAAACCACAAATTAAAACTGTAAACCAAAGCTTAGTGAGTTCCCCTAAAGTACCACCACACAAATATATAATTAAACAGATAACGGGTCCACAACCTCCTGGTTGGATTACCCCCAGCCCACAACCTTACGGTTAGAATGCCCAATACATAACAAGTCCACAACCTTTTGGTTGGATTACCCCAAACCCACAATCTTCCGGTTGGAATGCCTTGACTCACAACTTTACGATTGGAATACTCTGATCTATTGACTTATAGCACAAAGCAGTACAGTCTCAACCCCACCATACCATGTCGACATGCACATAACAATTAACATATAACCTACAAAAAATAATCATATAACCAATTAACAGTCTAGCAGGTAGATCTAGCAATTGCTATTGTATAACAACAACCTAGATACCATGATACATAACTAAAAGGGGATAACTACAGTAAAATCTCAATATTTTGGCAAAAGTTTTAAAAAAGTTCTAAAAAAATTTTTGATTAAAAAAACCCAAAAAACCGGATAATTCATTTAGTTTAGTCTTTTTTGACATTTTCAGCAGATCACCCATGCCACATGGCATGACAACTAGACAGGTGCTGATGTGGGTGTTGACATGGCATACCACATCAGCGAATTACTCTTAAACATGAAAAAAAAAAAAAACCCAACCACAACGAACCCACAACCTCTCAAACACAAACCAACCACCTTTCCACTAGGTTGCACGACATTTTGTGTTTTTACCCCTCAAAATTGGAATAAAACCTTTTAAACGCATAACTCTTAATTACAATTATTATAATTATAACTATAATTATTATTATTATTATTATTATTATTATTTATAAAACGTAAATACTTTTAATATTTTATATATAAAAAAATATATAAAATGCATAAAAAAGATATTTAATATACATAAAAATTATATATATATATATATATATATATATATATATATATATATATATATATAAAACATAAAAAATACGTAAAAAAATATACGTCATATACACATACTTAGAAGGTTTTTCGTAAAAAAAATACATAAAAATTATGCATGTGTAGAAATATATAAAATGAATAAAAAATATTTAATATAAATAAAAATATATAAAAATACATATAAATACGTAAAAAAAACTTTATATATTTAACATATTTTTTATGAAATATTAAAATTATTTATGTTTTGTATATAATAATAATATTAATAATAATTATTATAATTTTAATAATAATAATAATAATTTTAATAATAATAATAATTGTAATTAAGACTTATGCGTTTAAAAGTTTATATTCCAATTTTGAGTAGTAAAAACACAAAATTTCATGTAGCCTAATGCAAGGATAGTTGGTTTGTGTTTGGGAGGTTGTGGTTTCGAATCCCATTTCCTCCAAAAACTTGTATTTTTTCATAGTAAAGAGTAATTTGCTGATGTGGGTGCTGAATGAATTATCCGGTTTTTTGGACTTTTTTATTCAAAAAAAAATTAGGATTTTTTCAAAAATTTGCCAAAATACTGAAACTTTACTGTAGTTATCCCTAACTAAAAGGGGCAGACATTAGTGCATTCGACCCACTGGAAAGTAAGTTACTGCTCTAAATACCGACTTTGGTCATCGATCTGCGGATGATAAGCAGTGCTGAAATGTAGTCTCCTACCCAGTTCCTCTGTAACACACCGACTCCCAGGTATAAATTTTAAAGCATTATGTACATGTTTATGGACCTACTAGATGAGTTGGTTTCCCCAACTCGTCATGTAGAGGCGGGTTAGCCCGCGTGGATTATTGGACCTACTCGACAAGTCGGAGGACCCTGACTCGACGAGTAGGAACTGGAAAATGGAATCCTAATTTTTAGGGTTTGCACCATATTTAAAGGACCTTAAGTCCTTACCTCTAGCCCCTTACCACCTTTCGACAGCCAGAATAAACCCTAATCCGTCTAACCTTGTTCTTGAGTGTTTGAGAGGCTAAAGTGTGCTTTTGGTGCTTTTGATTGAAGAAGCTTAGGTGCTGTTTGATTTTCTGAAGCAAAAATTCATAAAGTCTGAGGACCACCTCTGTCACCCTCTGTAGTAAAAGAGGTGGACCAAACGGCTGCAGACTGTAATAAGAAGCGTGTTTGTTTTTTGAACATCTGCATATTGTTGCAGATATTAAAAAAATTTAAATAAACTAATTTTATAAACCAAAAATAGTTTTTTAATATGTAAAATTTAATAATGTATAACATTTCGGTAAAAATTAATGATATTTCAGTAAAAAATAATGATATTTCAACAAAAAATAAAGATATTTTAGTAAAAAAAATAATGATATTTTATCAAGAAATTATCATTATTGAATATAAAAAACGAAAAAAAAATTTAACAAGAATAAACGGAAAAAAAAAACAAAAAAAAATATGAAATAAAATTTTAACAAAATTATAATCAAAATTTCAGCAATAAAAAGAAGAAGAAGCGGTTGGAAGTGGTAGTACAAGTGATGTGCCAAACAGAGCACGCGCAAAGGTTTTTGACTCATATAAAAAACAAACAGTTGCGAGATGAAAAGTGTTGCGCGTGTGCAGCGTCGCGCAACAATTAGAGGTTTGAAGAGGTTTTTGCCAAAAAACAAACAACACCTTAGAGTTTTAAAAGCTTGGAACAAGAAGAAGAGGATAGATCCAATATCTACATTTTCTTGGGTTGCATTTAAAGGTAAAAAGCCTGTACCGTGGTCTTCCATGTAGTAGATCCCTTCTTAAGTGAGAATATGGGTATTTTGGTGCAAAAATGGAGTGATTTTCTGATTTGAGCTTGTCACAAGTGCATAGTTTCAGATCTAGAGTCCTCTAGCCCTTTATGAACACAAAGCCTCAAGCTTTATGAGGCTTTGGCTCTCCTTTATGTCCAAAACCTTCTTCTAAGGCTAGTTATAAGTGTTTTAGCTCCATGTAGTTTGCATGGACGTAAAGTTAACAACTTTATGTGATAATCACATCCTAGGAGCCTAGATCTACAGCTTGTAGCTTTGGTTTCACAAAAAAAGCCTTTGTATCTGATGAAGATTGGTTGTTGTTAGCTTCTGCATGGACTCGGAGAGTCAGTGAGACAACTCGACGAGTCAGTTAGGGTTTTCCCGACTTTTGGACACACATGGACTCGACGAGTTGTTTGGAAACTCGGCGAGTCAACCAGGGTTTTCACGATTTCTCGAGTTCTGGAAGGACTCGACGAGTCAGTGAGCTGCACTCAACGAGTTGGGTCATCATGGACTGTTGTCCTTGATCATTGACTTTGACTTTGACCGAGGGTTGACCACTTTGACTTCTGGGGGTATTTTAGTAAATTAGGAATTTATGGAAGTGGTTTTATGGTGAATATAGGTGGTGGAGATCGTGGCTGCGATTCGAGAGTTTGATCTTATCACTAGAGTTTGACATTTGTCAGGTGAGTTTTCCTCACTATACTTAGGGGTCGGAGGCACAAGGTCGGCCCACTGGATCTGATATCCTAGTAGTTGATGATATTTTGAGTATGAGATAGTTATGCATGCTAGTTTCCTATGCTAGTTTGGTAGATCTGTAGGACTACCTATGTTACTATTTGATTATCCGTATATGCATTTAGTTGTTATATGTCGACATGTTGTGAAGGTAGGGTTGAGGTTGCACTGCTTCGTGCGGTGACCAACAAACCCTGGAGTATGCCTGATATGAGCTGAGGGATGGGAGAGTATGCCAGACTCATACTGAGGACTCCTAGGCATTCTAGTTGCAAGCTGAGGGCCAGTAGAGCATGCCAAACTCGCAGTGAGGGCTTATCAGTTATATTCCAGTTTTAGGACTGAAGGGGGCAAGCCAGTCATAAGTTGTGGGCGATGTGAGCTGTGGGCCTGAAAGGCAAGCCAGACTCGCACTGAGGGCTCAGGGGTAATCCAGTATGTAGAGTTGTGGACCCATTACATGTTGTTATTATGTGTATTATTTTT